TAAAGTCATGCACATAAAAGCGAAAGCTCATAAAAATATGAAAAATATACCAAAGGGATAGCTCAAAATACCATTTAAAAACAATAAACATATGGATAGGTTAAGAATGAAATTCTGTACAGGACATAGGTATGTAAAATACGGAACCGAGTTCGGAAGGCGGCTTGGAAGCGATAAAATAAAATCGGGTCAATGGTATGGTAAAATTGACGCTTTGACAGCGTCATTTTCCAAAAAGGAATAAGTTCAAAATCTAATTTCTATTAAAAAGAAATCTGTATAAATTTGGAAATTAATGTATGATTCATTAATGCGAACTGCTGCCAAAAGTAAAATTATCAATTATGGCCTGGAAAGACTGACAACTCCTATAAATGAATATTCATAAAAAAAAATAAATATGTGTACGACCACTCTTTGTTTTATTTGTAAAACTATGCATTTTCAGACAAACCGAAATCGGTTACCATATTCACAACAGTAAATTGACCTCATCAATTATAAGCTTGAACGCTTTAGTGAAACGTTCTTTGAAATCGTCGAAATTGCTTCATTACGAGGAACGTCGTTTAACGCTAAGTAGTACCAACATCGTGCGCAACGTCATACCGCTCAGTTATGTTTCTTTTAATTCAAAACACAGTACATGTATGAGGGTCTGGATGGTGGTCCTTAATTTCTGTATTCTTTAATTTTTAAGGCCATTATTCTCTGTTCTTTATACTTTTTGCCAATTATTCTATATTCTTTTCATTTTAGCACCTCATTATTCTCTATTCTTTATTTGTTGGTCAATTTGTCTCTATTCTTTATATTTTTTGCCCATTATTCTCTATTCTGTAAACCCCAATCCACACCCTCATGTATCAAGAAATACTTAGGACAGTCAAAATAAATTCACACAAACTGGTAACAATTGCCTTTAAGGAAGTTGGGTAACAACCTAAGGGCATAGTGTCCATCTCTGTACAGCAACAGGCTGAAATAAAATATTCTCCAACCTATGTGAAACTTATAAACATAAAAGAATATCAGACCAAAATGGTGGACCTAAGTTTTGTGGCAGTGTCCATTGATGATTCCCTGTGGATTGGTGATGGATTTAAGGCGGAAGTTTTCCATCCCTTTACATCACATACAGCACAACAGAATGTTAAAGTTGTAGGAGATAAAGTAAAGATCATATCAAGTTTTACCACGTGGGTGTATGGTATTGCCGTTACTCCTACTAATGACATACTATTGGCAACACGAAAATCAATACTGAAGCAGATCAGTGCTGGATCCACTAAACTGACTGATTCTATTTACTATGCAGAATTATCCATTATCATTATTGTCCATGTGACAAGAGATGGCAGGGTGATTGTAGGTGGCACGGGCGTTGTTATTATGGATATAGACGGAAAGCATTTGACAGGGTATAGAAAAGATAAGAACAATAAATCTATATTTGATGGTGCTATTTGGTCTGTAACTTGTATGCTGAATGGGAATATTTTAGTGGTACAGACATCAATAATGCAAGAGTGGTTGTGTTAGGAAAGACGGATGTCATTAACATCTATACAGGACATCCATCCGTCAATAGTAAAAACGATTTCAACCCACAATCAGTTATAACCACACCATTGGACAATGTTATTGTGTATGACCATGTCAATCATATTTTACATTTACTGGATAACCTTGGTCATCTATTGACCAGCTACAAAACCAATCACATAGGGATATTATTTCCAACATCTCTAGCCATCACAATGGAATGACCGTTTGCATATAATACTGTTTCGATCCCTAACATCACTGAAGAGACATTAATTGTTGAAATCCGGATAAGGTGTATAAAATGTTTTGCACCTCAATTTAGCGGTATACCATCTTTTCCGCAAGTTTATTGTTTTCTGTTTGATATTAAATACATATTTAAGATCCATTTTGTTACACCTGGTGATCAATTTATTTGGCAATCGTCAATGGCAGTCGGCAGGGTTTAAGAACATCTGTTGTTCGACCTGTTAGTCAAATGCGTTTTGTTAACATATACTTTTTCACTTTTTTGGTCTTTTGGAAAATTTTGTTTGTGCTGTATTTAGACCCCTCTACCAAGAAATTTGTTTTACATGTACACGTGTAACAATTGCGGTTTTTATCCAACGCAATCATAGGTTTGAACGTTGTTTTCAATTTAGACTTTTATATATTTTTTCGTTTGGGCTTGTATTATATTTTCCTTCGGGTTTATATGATCCGTTCATCCTATTTCGACTCTTTAAAATTCAAGAGTCTATCCTAAATTGAGGTAAATTATATGGCCTTCCAAATACCGTTTCGATCCCTAACATCACTGAAGAGACATTAATTGTCGAAATCCGGATATGGTGTACAAATTTTTGCACCTCATGTTTGTGGTATACCATCTTTTCCACAAGTTTATTGTTTTCTGTTTGGTATTAAATTAATATTAAGATCCATTTCGTTAGATCTGGTGATTAATTTATTTGGCAATCGCCAATGGCAGTCAGCAGTATTTAAGAACATCAGTTTTAGTCAAATGCGTTTTGTTAAAATAGACTTTTTCACTTTTTTTGGTCTTTTGAAAATTGTTGTTTGTGCTGTATTTAGACCCCTCTACATGTACCAAGAAATTTGTTTTACATGCACACGTATAAAATTGCGGTTTTTATCCAACGCAATCATAGGTTTGAACGTTGTTTTCAATTTAGACTTTTATATATATACAAGTCTAAATTGAAATAACGTTCAAACCTATGATTGCGTTGGATAAAATATTTATACAGGACGCCATACATATGGAGAAAGTTCTGAAACGGGAAAGTTGTACAAAATGAACATAATGGGATGTAGAAGTCGTTATCTCTTTTCAAATTAAAATTTACAATAATATGTGAACTGTAATTCCAATCAAATATTACAACAAAAAATTAATCTGCTGCTGACGGAAACTGAAAGCTCTAATAAGTTATAGATACTGTAAAGGTTATAAAACACAAAGTACATTTTAGATTGCACTATTGTTAGTTGAATAAAAACCAAATATGTATCATGAAAATTTCATATTTTAGTAAAATATTAAAGTTAACTTTGTTTAAAGGTATTCGTGGTTCCTATGGGAAATAGAGTATTTACTCCCGACCAGTAATCTTACAAGACAGTAAAATAATATTTTAAAAAGCAATTCATAAATACAACAGAACGATATTATTTGGTAATGTAAACGAGGAATTCTAAATTTGGAATTCAGTGGCTGATAGACAAATGAAATAATTATTTCGTTACCTCTGAATAAATCGTGTTGAAATGATTATAATTTTTTCTCTATACATTTTCCAGCTTTGTAACATTTCCTTTAATGTTTTCATCCGCCTTTACGTATACACAAGGGTACGCTACCCCCGCCTACCATTCCTGTTATCTGCTAATCTATGACTATAAATGGCCTTCATGATTGAAATAGTTCCTATGGTGGAACTAGATTTCCTTGAACTATATAAATGATTGTCACTACAAGGCTACGTATTCAAGTGATATTTGCAGTATTGAAAGTTTATGATAAACATGATATAGTCTTCTATGATAATTTTTGTGATAGAAGTTGCAGGCAGTACTAAGGCTGGTGATGGCGAGTATTTTAGTTTCTGCATTTCATTTCATATCTGCATTACGTGTTTTTTTAGTAGCAATGAACAGTGGTACGTGATCTAAGGCAGATTTACGGGAGATATTGGGTTGGGTAAGAATTAAATAGTACAAGTAGTACCACTCTGTTTTCATGCTGTCTACAGTAAATGCAAAGTGATATACATTTTTGTACCTACTACTTAATGATAGGTGGCAGTCCAAATACAATGTACAAGTTATAAATGACGATGTCAATTTTGATAGGCAAACTGGGTTAGTCAAAAATGTATGTGTAAAAGTGCTTTGACCATCAAATATTGTCTGCTGGTAATAAGATGTCTTAATTCAATTATTTATATATAATTCGTCGATTGAATAAACAGAAAATGCATGAAATAGCCGCCACTGGACGTTCAGCAAATAACTTTCAACCATGCAGTTGTTTAAATCAGTTAAATGTATGGAAATATCGTTTTGTTTTTGTTTTATTATATTTCATTGACTGAGATGATATTTTTATTTTAACAAAATAAAAAATAAACGAGGATAAACTTTTCATTTTCATTCTGTTTTTGGCAAGGTTTTTAATATTTTCAGTTCTTACCAGACCAGGATATTCACTTAAAAACCCTACTCGTCATAAGAATATCAATTAACTCATCATAGATGACGCGCGTTTCGTCTACAAAAAAATATTCATCGATGATGCTCGAACCCAAAAAAGTTAAAAAAAAAATCAAATTATTGACTCCTATTCTGGAGATGTAGACAGCAGGCCTGAACTCAATTACTGACTCCTATTCTGGAGATGTAGACAACAGGCCTGAACTCAATTATTGACTCCTATTCTGGAGATGTAGACAACAGGCCTGAACTCAATTATTGACTCCTATTCTGGAGATGTAGACAACATGGCCTGAACTCAATGGTCCGAAATTTGTTAAAACATTTATTACAAGTACCATAAGAGCTACAGTGATATTTCAGACTCAGGCTAGGAGTGTCACGGTTGTTTAACGGATTTAGTTGTAAAATCATAACATGAAGTGTATAAATGTCTCATCATATTTGTTTTAACGACAGATTGTTTTAGCACACATCTGTCTATACAAATACATATTGTCAATAAAAATGAATTATTGAACGACCAAAAAACCAACATTTACCTATCGTTCGAAACATATTGAATTAGAGTTTTCAAGAATTAGAATTTTACATTCGCCAATGGGCTCATTATATGTTTCATTGACATAAACTTGTCGTTCTATCAATCTGTCACATGTAAACATTTGTTGCATAATTTTACATTATATAAATAATCGACATTCGTCATGAACATCAAATAAATTATGAACTTTTCAAGGCCATTTGTGCCATTGATCCATGACCAGGGACACAGTTATCTCACGGTAGACAGATTTTATAATTAAAAATGGCTACTGATGAGATGAAAAGTAAATTTGAAGGAAAATGGAAACTTTACAAGAATGAGAATATTGATGCCTTCTTTTCTGATGTTGGTAAGTATCAAATGTAAACATGTCGGCTATTTTTAGAAAGCGGAACTCACGTGAATGTTTACTATTATCCTTGTGCAATGTTTACAAACAAATAAACAGCTGATGCTGATGGTTGTCACTATATTTCTGATAAACTTGATGTCATGAGTTGAAATTGATTTTACTCTATATATCATTTTACTTATACCTGAAATTCACTATGATATACTAGTTCTCTACTATAGGAAAATTGACAACTGTTACACTATCATATGACAAGTATGAAGTGTGAAGGTCGTTTTACATATAACACAGACAGTGGCATTATATTGCAAAATTTTATAATAATACCGTTATAAACTAGACAAAATTTGGGGTGGTATACGTAAAAAGTCTTGATTAACTATAAATGTAAGTCCATAAGCTCCACCCCCCCCCCCCCCCACCCCACAAACCCACTAAATACACCTCTGCGTTGGTTTAATGTGCGATGGAGTTCTGTACGACTTTGACGTATATGTATATCCAACATCTCCTTTTTTACATAATAGATCATTTTGTTTTTGCATATACCCTATATAAACTCTTTCTCGATTCTTTATATTCTTTTTGCTGGGTTACGTCCGCACATGACGATTCCATACGGATATAAAAAAGAAACTGTATGATAATGATAACGTTGATATATAATCATCCTTATTTATGATGGTTTAATTTAACTTATTCGGTATTCAAGAGCTTGCAGCTCCTACTCCGACTTTGTAAAACGTCACCAGTGTCTGAGCAGAAAGTTGATGAACCAGGGGTATGTCAAAGAACGTCTCGTCCTTTTTCTAAAAAAGTTCATCGGAAGGTACCAAGAACTTGTTGATAAATATTCCGTATCAACTTCACAAATAATACACGATGGTCTTGAAGTATAGATTTTGCGTACTGTCGTTGTTTATCATCTTAATAACGTGTTATAGTATTCTTTTATTTATCTTTATTAATTTTACTTTTACTGTTAAGTCTGTTTTTTTAGATATCCATTTGACGTGACTCTGTGCTTATGTATCCCGTCATACTTTCAACGACAAAATTATTTTATTTATTAATATTACTTTTACTGTGATATACATTTGACGTGACTCTGTACTGATGTAAATCGTCATACTTTGTACCACACAATTATTTTATTTTATTTATTAATATTACTTTTACTGTTACGTCTGTGCTTATGCATCCAGTCATACTTTCAACGACAAAATTATTTTATTTATTAATATTACTTCTACTGTTGAGTCTGTTTTTTGTTATATCCATTTTACGTGACTGTAATTATGTATCCCCTCATACTTTGAACGACAAAATTATTTTATGTCTACCTGTGCGAATTTCAAACGCGCGATTTTACGCCAGTACTTAAAACCTTCCATCCTTTATGGGTGGATTTTACATAGATAAATAAAATCGTATAATATAAGCAAAATGAGGATTTTAAATTTGATGTATGCCTTTTTGTGCTTCTTCGTTACATTTGTTTGTTTTTATAGTGATTAAGATGATAACAAAATGTTGACTGCTGTACCCCTATTTTTGACATTTTTACCTATTGTGTCTGTTTGTTTTGTTCACGCATCGTTGTCAATATAATAGAATTTGATGCGACTGTCATACAAGTGAGAGGTTTAGCTAGCTATAAAACCAGGTTCAATCCACCATTTTCTACATAAGTAAATGCCTGTACCAAGTCAGGAATATGACAGTTGTTATCCATTCGTTTGATGTGTTTGTTTTTTTGATTTGCCATTTGATTGGGAACTTTCCTTTTTGAATTTTCCTCGGAGTTCAGTATTTTTGTGATTTTACTTTTTAATTACTATTTTTGGTTCAGTGGAGATAGGAATCACACAACGAAACGGTTTATTATTTTTATTTTACAATATAGGTGTGAATTTCCTTGTGAGGAAAATGATTGCCGCTGGCTCCCCAACCCAAACAATAACTATCAACGACGATTCTGTCAAAATAGACGTGGATGCTGGGTTTAGAAAAAGAGAGGACGTAGTTAAATTTAATGTGGAGGAAGACAAGACGACAGAAAATGGGGAGCCAGGAAAGGTTTGTTTACAGTAACATTTAGGTCGGTTCCGTATACTGATCATATTTAACTTGAAGGCTCGTACTTTGACCTATAATGGTTTACTTTAACAAATTATGACTTGGATGGAGAGTTGTCTCATTGGCACTCATACCACATCTTTTCATATCTATGAACAATTAGGTAACATTTTTTCGAAGGAAATAAAGACTTCAGTTGTTTGGTTGTGAACAGTTGATTTTATGATCAGCAGCACTTTCATAAAAATATTTTTATGCCCCCGCCGTAACGGAGGGGGCATTAAGTTTTACTCTTGTCCGTACGTACGTCCCAAAATTGGTTTCCGTTCTCTAACTTTAGTTTGTCTCACCCAAATTTTATGAAACTTATACACAATGCTTATTACCACAAAACACAGATCAAGTTTGAATTTTGTTGGCGACACTTTTACCGTTCTAGAGTTATACCTCTTTACAAATGGAAAAGTTGCTGAATTTTTCGTTTCCGTTCTCTAACTTTAGTTTGCCTCACCCAAATGTTATGAAACTTATACACAATGCTTATTACCACAAAACACAGATCAAGTTTGAATTTTGGTGACGTTACTTTTACCGTTCTAGAGTTATGCTCCTTTACAAATGGAAAAAATGGTGAATTTTTTGTTTCAGTTCTCTAACTTTAGTTTGCCTCACCCAAATGTTATGAAACTTATACACAATGCTTGTTACCACAAAACACAGATCAAGTTTGAATTGTGGTGGCGTCACTCTTACCGTTCTAGAGGTATGCCCCTATTCGAATGGAAAAATTGCTGAATTTTTCGTTTCCATTCTCTAACTTTAGTTTGCCTCACCCAAATGTTATGAAACTTATACACAATGCTTATTACCACAAAACACAGATCAAATTTGAATTTTGGTGACGTCAGTTTTATCGTTCTAGAGTTATGCTCCTTTACATTTGGAAAAATTGGTGAATTTTTCGTTTCTGTTCTCTAACTTTAAGTTGCCTCACCCAAATGTTATGAAACTTAAATACAATGCTTATTACCACAAAACACAGATCAAGTTTGAATTTTGATGGCGACACTTCTACCGTTCTAGAGTTATGCCTCTTTACAAATGGAAAAGTTGCTGAATTTTTCGTTTCCGTTCTCTAACTTTAGTTTGCCTCAGCCAAATGTTATGAAACTTATACCCAATGCTTATTACCACAAAACACCGGTCAAGTTTGATTTTGGTGACGTCACTTTTACCGTTCTAGAATTATGCTCCTTTACAAATGGAAAAATTGGTGAATATTTTGTTCAGTTCTTTAACTTTTATAAATTAGTTTGCCTCACCCAAATGTTATGAAACTTATACACTATGCTTGTTACCACAAAACATAGATCAAGTTTGAATTTTGGTGGCGTCAATTTTACCGTTCTAGAGTTATGCCCCTATTCAAATGGAAAAATTGCTGAATTTTTCGTTTCCATTCTCTAACTTTAGTTTGCCTCACCCAAATATAATGAAACTTATACACAATGCTTATTACCACAAAACACAGATCAAATTTGAATTTTGGTGGCGTCAGTTTTATCGTTCTAGAGTTATGCCCCTTTACAAATGGAAAAATTGCTGAATTTTTCATTTCCGTTCTCTAACTTAAGTTTGCCTCAACTAAATGGTATGAAACTTATAAACAAAGCTTATTACCACAAAACTCAGATCAAGTACAAATTTGGGTAGCGTCACTTTTACAGTTATTGAGTGATGTCCCTTTATAACGTCATATGCAAGCGGGGCATCATCTGTGTCCCATTGACACATTCCCCATTTATTTTCATCTACATGTATATAGACTAATATCAGATTTCATGGTTGGCATTAGTTATCACGAATTCCCTGACATTTACAAAGAAGTTATTGGACCAAGGGTCCGTAACGGTTAAATTGAAGTCATCTATTTTACAACTTAAGGGATAAAGTCAGTATTTATTTTGCTTGCCATTGAAAACTTGACTTGGTTGGTGAGTGGGCATGGATTTTTATTTTTATTCTTAATTTCTTAATAAACAAATATGTTTCAGAGGGAAAGTGAAAAAATAGGTCACACATACATGAGATGTAGTATAAGACTTGAGTATAAAAATAAAAACACAATTGATTACAAAAAAATATATTGATCCTGTATATGATTAAAATAGGAAAACAGTTTTATTTATTAAAGTTGTCTAATGAAATAAAAACATTTGTCCAGAGATAGATTTTGATCCCCCTCCGAAAGATGAATGGTCGTTATTTTACTTTGGACGTGCATTTGAAATAACATAGTTGTTTCATTGGCAATTATACCACATCTCAAGCTGCTTTTCAGTTTTTAGATATCACCCCCTCCCCCTTTCCCCCTCCCACTTTTTTGTCTGGAGTAACAAAATGTACATCAAATAAAGTATAAAATATCAGGCCCGAAAATCACTGAACACTCAATTAAAGTTAAATCATTTATTAATGATCGATAGCTGATACGTAAGAGCGTGATCAAATGCTTAATAATGCAGTCACAAGTGTGGTATTTAAACATTAACGGACCATCATACATGTACCTGTAGGCTAAATCATGTAGCAATGTTGGAGAGAATGTTGTAACGCTCCGGTCAAATGTTTATTAAAGTTTTGTTTTAACTTCTGATAAGGGATTAGAAATATACATATTACAATTGTATGAAACATAATAACTATAATGTTTGCACTCTTTATTCAGATTTGTAGTTCACACATTCGGATACACACAATCTAATTGAAATATAAATCTCTGATTTTGTTATCCTCATATGATTTACGAGCACGCGAGTTAAGATGGATCTGTTTTTTAATAAGATTGAGAAACACACTGTCGCCCAATCGTTTCTGCTGGCTACCATTGATAAACAATTGTTACATGCATGTTATCAACTTTGTGTTCATTGCATTTGTCAGATGATGGCAACTTATGAGGATGGTAAGATTAAATTCACGCAGACACCAAACGACCCGAAATCAACTGTCACGACGATGATCAGAGAGAGAGAAGGCGAGGAACTAGTTTTGGTAAGAAAGGTTTCACTTTTTGTATGTAATAGAATAGAGAATTGAAACGGGGAATGTGTCAAAGAGACAACAATCCTACCAAAGAGTAGAAATCAGCCCAAGGCCACCAATGGGTCCTCAACGCAGCGAAAAAATCCCGCACCCGGAGGCTGGCTTTAGCTGGCCCCTAAACAATAATTTATACTACTTCAGCGAAATGGACGCAACACTAAACTCTGAAACGCGTACAAATGAACCCAAATAATCACACATACATGAGATGTAGTATACGTCAGTGAGAACCATACGGAACACAGGTCACACATACATGAGATGTAGTATATGTCAGTGAGAACCAAACGAAACACAGGTCACACATACATGAGATGTAGTATACGTCAGTGAGAACCAAACGAAACACAGGTCACACATACATGAGATGTAGTATACGTCAATGAGAACCAAACGAAACACAGGTCACACATACATGAGATGCAGTATACGTCAGTGAGAACCAAACGAAACACAGGTCACACATACATGAGATGTAGTATACGTCAATGAGAACCAACGAAACACAGGTCACACATACATGAGATGTAGTATACGTCAGTGAGAACCAAACGAAGCACAGGTCACACATACATGAGATGTAGTATATGTCAGTGAGAACCAAACGAAACACAGGTCACACATACATGAGATGTAGTATACGTCAGTGAGAACCAAACGAAACACAGGTCACACATACATGAGATGTAGTATACGTCAATGAGAACCAAACGAAACACAGGTCACACATACAACACACAGTCTTTAACAATAGATAGGTATTTACCAAAATAAAAAAATCACACTACATTAGTATTTACCAAAGTTGTGTATTTATTTGATATCAAAGATATATATGTCATTAACCTCAGATTCACAAATGACAAAACATTAAGAATTTACAAAAGACAAACCAGTTTCAAATATGTTACTGCATGCAGACTGTCATATTCAATGTGCAATGTGAAGTAATGTAAAAAAGTTAGTCTAATAATCGATAATCCATATGCATGAACATGAAAATAACACTTTATAAATTTGGTGCGTTCGAAGTGCTTTACTGAATTTACCTTCACCAGGAACGAATAACTAAAAACTGTGAAGGCCAATGATGTATATGTATGTTTTATTGGATTCATTAAATCGGATAAATCGGATGAATCGGATAAATCGCATTACATTAAACTACTCTGTTTTATTGGATCATGATGATAGCTTGCATAAGCCAATTGGAATGGACATAAATTGATTCGTTTATGAACATTTCCCTATACTGTTAATGTTTATGCATATTAAAAAGCAAAGTTAAATATATAAAGTTTTTATTTGGAACCGTCCCAGTTTTATCGCGGTAGCGTACTCGCCTCGAGTGCGAGAGGTCGTTGGTTCGAACCCTGACCTGGTCATATCAAAGACTTGAAAATTAGTATTTGCTGCTTCTCCGCTAATCACGCGCATTTAGAAGTAAGAGCAAAGACTGGTCGGCTCGGTGTCAGAATAATGTGTCCGGGAAAGGAGACATGGCTATCCTGCAGACTGTTACCTTGCGAACTAGAACGTTCAAAATCCGGCTCAGCGTGTCAGTCTAGTAAAAACAGGGTTTGTATTTCATATCATATAGTCATGTTCTCGTCCGGAATATGCATTTAATTTGCCACTGGACGTTAAACAGTCATCCATCCATCTTTATTTGAATCTTACCGAACCAAAGTATGCAATGAATTTGAAAGTATTAGACATAAGAATACTCTTCCTTTGACCTACAATAATCTTACGGTTTACATTATTAATCAATTGTTAAGTCAATAGGTCGCTGTTTGTCATGAAGAAAATATTGAAATTGAAATAGAAAAGGCGTCAGCAGAAAATAAAGAAATGATACTTTTAGGAGATTTCAATATAAACCATTCACATATAGATCAAACTGTTGTCGGAAATCGAAAATGGAAGGACTGTATTAATTTTTATGGTTTAGAACAAATTGTACATAAACCCACAAGAGTAACAGATAAATGTGTAACTACTATAGACCATACTTATACTACCGATGTAGGCCATATTATAGAAGTAAATGTGCCTAGTTATGCTGTCAGTGATCATTATCCTGTTTGCGTTACAAGAAAACTCAACCCAAAAATGTCAAAAATGGAGCATTTATCCATAGAATACAGATCATTCAAACAATTTGATCAAAATAAATTTATTGAAAATTTAACAAATACTCCTTTTCATCTCATTGAATCAATTGGAGATGTTAAAGAAGCAGCTAACTTTTGGTATAATATATTTCTAAACACCCTAGACAAGCATGCTCCTAAGAAAATTAAAAGGGTGAAAAATACTCAACAACCAGAGTGATGGACTTCTGATATAAATAGCGCTCGATACCAAAGAGATTATTTTCATAGAATTGGAAATTTATATAAATATAAAATTTGGCGTAATAAGAGTTACATTTTTAGTAGAACAGGCAAAGAAAAATTATTTTCAAAATGCTATTTTAAATTGTAAAGATAGTAAAACTATTTGGAAGTACACAAACATGTATGTAAAAAGTTTAAATCCCAAAAAATTACATCATAATATCGCGCATTTAGAATATAAAAATTATGTAATTGAAAATGATGTTGATATAGCAAATACATTTAATATGCATTTCACAAATATTGCTGAAGGTATAATTGCTAACAAATTATTTAATAATGATGAAGGTCCAAGCTTCAGTTACAAAGGGGTAGCGAAAAATTCAGTATACCAGAAATGAGTATTTTAGATGTAAAAATGTATTTAAAAAAACTTGATAAATCTAAAGCAACTGGTTTAGATGACGTTGGACCAAACATTTTGAGTATGTGCAGTGATGTCATTGCACCAGCTTTAACATAATCTAAGCATCAAATGTGGTAAATTGTCTAGTATTTTTAAATCTGCAAGAGTTTGCCTAATTTTTAAAAGTTGCGATGCTTGTAATCCTGATAATTATAGACCAATAGCAGTTTTGCCTTGTCTCTCCAAAATCATAAAAAGACATATCGCTGATAGTTTGTATATATATTTAAATAGTAATGACCTTCTTAATACTACACAGTCAAGCTTCAGACCTAAACATTCGTGCATATAATTTATTGAAAAAAACTTGAATATTATAATGTTTCAAACTGTACACTAGACTGGTTTAAGTCATACTTGTTTGAACGAATTTAGCAAGTTGTGGTAAATAACGTCATGTCTGATACCAGATACATAAAAACTGGTGTACCACAGGGCTCTATCCTTGACCCTCTATTATTTTTTTTATACATCAATGATTTACCCCTGAACATAAAAAGTCATTGATAGATTTATATGCAGATAATTCTATTTTACATAGTAAAGGTAAAAATGTACATGATTTAAATGCTAACCTTCAAAATGACATTTATACAATTGAAAACTGGTGTTCAGAAAATTGTATGAAACTAAATGCCAAAAAATGTAAATCAATGATTATTGGTTGAAAACAGAGGCTTTAATCAACTGGGAACAGTTTAGATATCAATATTTCAGATGAACAAATAGATAATGTAGATTGTGAAAAACTTCTTGGTTTATATATATCGACAAAAACCTAAATTGGAATCAGCAAATAGATAAAATGTCGTGTACATTATCAAAAATTATAAAAAAGTATTTACCTATGCATATACGTATTATTTATTTTAATGCTTATATTCTGCCATTGTTTGATTATTGTTGCAATATATGGGATAGTTGTTATGAAAGTGGAATAGATAAACTTAATAAGTTAGGGTTATACCATATCTCCTTAGTTTTTACATTCACAGTAAAATATAAACTGGCCTCAAGCAATCAATGATTCTATATTCTTCATATAAAATCTTGCAAATATATGAAAGATTGTCAACAATAAGTTTTTGTTGTAACATCACAATACTGTTGAAGTAGATATTCATGTAGAATATAGTGTTAAAAATATATTGCTTTCCTCCCAATGTTCAAAATGACTACTCGTGGATGCAAAATAAAACTACTTACACCCTCCCATCCTTTTCCACCCCCAAGAAAATGCATGATTGTTTGAAGAAAACCTCCATTTAAACTTCACTTTACTAAAGATTTCCATACCAAGCCTGGTGCTTCTGCGTAGTCACAGGTAAATCTATTAAAAAAAAACATCTGAACCACTAATTAAATCTAATTATAATTATGGAACAACACTCAGATCTATACACTATCAAATAAACATCTGCGCCATGAGCGCATGATACGCCCGTCGCTTTTTAAAAGAATAAAGTTCAATAACTTCTCAATGTCAAATCAGACATTTATGAAAAAATAAAGGGAGGTTATCTTAATAGATATAAACCAGTCACCAAACTTTCATGAAAACTCATCAAAGCACTTTAAAGATATTGTCTGAAAACTGGAAAATCACCCCTTTTTTATTAATAAAATCCCATAACTCGGAAACGTAAAATCTAAAATTTATAATAATCGAAATGGAGCTTACGTCAATAGATATAAACAATTCAATAAAGTTTTTTACAAATTGGTGAAAGTGTTTTTGAGTTTTTTTGTCCGAAAACTAGAAAATCCCCCTTTTTAATGAATAAAACCCCATAAATTGGAAAGTTAATATCTAAAATTTATAAAAAACGAAAGGGAGCTCACGTTAACAGATATAAACAATTCACCAAAGTTTCATGCAAATTGGTTAAAGCGTTTTTGAGTTATTGTCGGACATGTTGACGACGGATGGACTATACTATAATACGTCCCGTAAACGGGCGTATAAAAAGGGTGCAATTTCATCAATGTCATTCGTTTTGGAGAAATATACCCTATTTGGAGATATTTCATGAAATTGCAATCCCGTGGGTAGATTCATTTAATATCTTAATTTATGTTCCGTTTTTTGCTTGACCCTAGTCCTAAAACACAAACATTGTGTGGCGATATTTACATTTTCT